CGGAGCATTTTCCGCCGACCTCGGTCTCTTCCTCCGCCAGCTTGCGAGGACCGCACGCGCTAGTGGGTCCATTGACCACACGGCACCTCTCGGGGGTCCACCCGCTCGCACTATACACCTTTCACTCCGCCGCCATCTCCGTGTCACCGCCGACGCCCTCACCATTCAGAACTCGGCTTGGAGCTCACCCTCGACCCTCGCGATCTCGCCCGGCGCTCGTCGGGACGGCCGCCATTGCGGTGGGCGCCACCACCTCCTCCCGCCCCCCCCCCCCGGCCACCGCCAATGCGACCGACCCCACCCCCCTTCCCCGACCCCGCCCTAAACGCCCCCGACAGCGAATTTTTCACGCCACCCAAGGTTTTTCTTCTTTCTGGCGGCATGAGCGGCGCCATCCTCCCAACCCAGCTCGCCGACCTGGCTCGGGGCGACCTGGCCTGGCTGCGCGGCTTCCTCTCCGGGCGGCGGACGCGCGGCACGTCGCTCGCGGCCCAGCTCGACGCGCGGCACGACACCGAGAAGCAGGACACGCTGCTCACCTGGGCCGCTCGTCACGGGCAAGCCGAGGCGGTGCGGCTGCTGCTCGAAGGCGGCGCGAGTGTCGGGGCGACGACTAGCGGCGGCGCTTCCGCGCTGTATATCGCGTGCCAGGAGGGGCAGATTGAGTGCGCCCGGCTGCTCCGCGAGGCTGGCGCGGCGGTCGACCAAGCCACAGAGCACGGCGTCACGCCGCTGTCCATCGCGAGCCAGGAGGGCCACGTCGAGTGCGTCCGGCTGCTTCTCGAGGCCAACGCGGCGGTCGACCAGGCCGATGATGAAGGCGCCACGCCGCTGAGTGCTGCGAGCTTGGCTGGCGAGATCGGCTGCGTTCGGCTGCTCCTCGAGGCTGGCGCCGCGGTCAACCAAGCAGACGCTGAAAGCTTCACGCCGCTGTACGTTGCGTGCCAGGAGGGGCATTTCGAGTGCGCCCAGCTGCTGCGCGACGCTGGCGCTGAGATCAACCAAACCGACAAGGTCGGCGCCACGCCGCTGTTCATCGCGTGCCAGAACGGCCAGCTCGAGTGCGTGCAGCTGCTTCTCGAGGCTGGCGCAGCGGTCAACCAAGCCAAGCAGAACGGCGTCACGCCGCTGTTCATGGCGAGCCAGAAGGGCCACCCCGAGATCGTCCGGCTGCTGCGCGACGCTGGCGCTGACATCAACCAAGCGATGAACGGCGGCGCCACGCCGCTGTTCATGGCGTGCCAGAAGGGCCAGCTCGAGTGCGTCCGGCTGCTCCTCGAGGCTGGCGCGGCGATCAACCAAGCCAAGCAGAACGGCACCACGCCGCTGATCATGGCATGCTTCAACGGCCACCTCGAGATCGCCCGGCTGCTTCTCGAGGCCGGCGCGGCGATCGACCAGGCCGATGAGCAAGGCGCCACGCCGCTGTTCGCTGCGTGCCACCAGGGCCACCTCGAGGTCGCCAAGCTCCTCTCCTCCTACGGCGCCTCCCGCGCCGCTACGCCCTTCGGCACGCCCGAGGAGGCCGCAAACAGCCAAGGCCACACCGACCTCGCCGCCTGGCTGGTCGCCAGCCGCGGCTGGACGCCGCTCGCGCACCTTGAGACCCTCACCGCCGCCCGCGCCACCTCCCTCCTGCGCAGCGGCGCAAGCTTGCACGAGGGCGAGCCGACGCCGCTGCGGCGCGCCGCGGGCGGCGAGGGCGAGACGGCGGCGCTGGTCCGGCGGGCGGCGTCGCCGTGGTCGCCGGCAAGCCACTCGCTCTTCCCCGCGGCGGCTCGCGCGCGGGCGGCGCTCCTCGTCCTCTCGATCTACGAGATCCACGAGCGGTACCACCTCGACTCGGCAGGAGCCACGAACGGCATCGCGGCGCTCGACTTTGGCCACTGCGTCTTGGGCTTCGCCATCACGCGCGAGACGGAGTAGGGGGGGTTGCAGTTGGTTCGCGCCCTCACGCTCACGGCGCTGTCTTTGAGTTTGCGCGCACCGTGCTGCTGCACGCGGTGGCGAGCGAGGGAGAGAGTAGAGTGCGAGGACGCACGACGGGACGTATACTACCGCGCGGCTCCGTCGAGCTCGTCCCTTGGCGAGCTCGAGAGCTGCTGCTGCCGGCGGCATACGAACAGCTTCGCCCCTCGGGTGAGGATGTGTGTAGGTGTTTGGGCGGGGGTAGAATGCATCTCTTACTTGCAGGGCGCGCAGCCAAGCAGCGCCTTGAACCCTGTACCTGTGTGCTGCCCAAGTGCACAAGTGTGGAACGCCGAAAGCAAGGGCAGGTCAAGAGCTTACCTGCCGCGATCGCACCCGCCGCCGCCGCTCTCCAGCCGCCAAACGCGGCACCAGCGCCGCCGTCGCCTCTCCCATCTCACCACCTGCACCCACCGCCGCCGCTCTCGCCACGGTTGAAACTACGGCCCGCGTGACGGCCGCCCTGTCCGGCCGGCAGATATGGTTGCCAAGAAGAAGGCTCCGCCCAAGAAGGCCGCCAAGGCGCCCGCCAAGAAGGCTCCGCCGCCGAAGAAGGTGCCGCCACCGCCGCCGCCAACGCCACCCGCAGCCCGCCCTTGCAAAACCCATCCCGCCGCCTCCACCAGAGCTGCCGCCGCCGCCTCACCTCCACGCCTGTCCTCACCTCCCCCCCCCTTTCCCCCGCCCGCCCACCCGCCCGCCGCTGCCGCCGCCGCAGGCGCCCGTGAAGAAGGCGACGCCGCCCAAGAAGGCGCCCGCCAAGGCGACGCCCAAGAAGACCATCGCAAAGCAGAAGCTCGTCAAGGCGAGACACTTCCGACACACTTCCGACACACTTCTCCGAGACCCTTCCGAGACACTTCCGAGACACTTCACGGTTGCGAGACACGTCCGAGACACTGCGTCGCCAAGCAGAAGCTCGTCGTCCCCGAGACACTTCCGGGACACTTCCGAGACACTTCCGAACACACATGGCGCGGTGTCCCGACCGCTGCTCCCCCGCCGCGCCCTCGATTCAACCCGCTGACGGATTCCCACGCACGCACACACACACACTCACGCACACACGCACGCACACACACGCACACGCACACACACACTCACGCACACACGCACGCACACGCACGCACACACGCACTCACGCACACACGCACGCACACACACGCACACGCACACACACACTCACGCACACACGCACGCACACGCACGCACACACGCACTCATGCGCACCCGTGGCTGCACGCCTCTCGCTCACCCTCGCCTCGCCTCGCCGGCAGGTGCCGGTCTCGGCGCTGGCGGAGCGGAAGAAGGGGGGCGGGCGGAAGAAGGCGCGAGATGTGGGGAGATTTGGAGAGCAGGGAGATGCGGGGGGTGGGGAGATGGAGGGAGATGAAGGGAGGTGTTGGGAGATGTGGGCGGTAGGGGTCTACATGTGGCTTCACTCCGCACCCCCAGGCGACCCTTCCCGGAACCTTCCCGGAACCTGCCCCCCCCCCCCCCCTCCCGGCAGGTGGAGAAGAAGGTGTTCGAGCCCGAGGAGAAGCCGGCGCAGAAGCGGGCCGCGAGGGCGCGTGCCACGCCCCACGACCCGTCCCCGATACCCGCCTCGATACCTCGATACCCGCCCTGTCACGCCCCGCCCATACCCGCCCCGCACACACCCACCCATACCCGCCCCGCCCCGCCCCACGCCCCGCACCCCATACCCATTCGCCCCAACCTCGGCGAACCTCGGCGAACCTCGGCGAACCTCGGCGAACCTCGTCCCAGCCGACTCGGCAGAGAATCTCGGCCCAGCTGACTCGGCGAATCTCGGCGAATCTCGGCGGAATCACTCTCGGCAACGACTCTCGCCCAATCTCGCCCAATCTCGCCCAATCTCGCCCAATCTCGCCCAATCTCGCCCAATCTTGGCGCAGGCGCCGCCCAAGCCCGCCGTCGCCGCGACTTCTGGTGGCAAGTCGACCAAGGCCCGAGATGCCTCGAGATGCCTCGAGATGGACCGAGATGGACCGAGATGCCTCGAGATGCCTCGAGATGCCTCGAGAGGACCCGAGAGGACCCGAGAGGACCCGAGAGGACCCGAGAGGACCCGAGAGGACCCGAGCTGACCCGAGCTGACCCGAGCGGAGCCCAAAGGCCGCCCAGTGGTGTCGCCACCACCCGTCGCCAGCTTCGCTCCCGTCACCGCTCCCGCCGCCGCGCCACGCACCCTCCCCCACACCCCTCCCCCACACCCTCCCCACACCTCTTCGCAGGCGACGCTCCGAATGGTCGTCAAGCTGCTGACAGATCTGATCGAGACGCTGTAGGGGGGGGGGGGGGGGGGCTCCTCGGGGCGGCTATCTAGGGGCGGTCGCGCCGAGCCACTCTTTTCTTCCGCCTGGGAGGAGCCCGGGTCGGCGCGCGCGCGATCTGCGCCGCGAGGCGATCTTGCCGCTGTCTCTGGAGGCAGGTGCGGTGTCTGCGGCTGCCGCACCAGCGTTGTCCTGCCCTGCCCCGCTCCGCGGCGCGTACGCGCGCGTCGGAACTGTAGTCATAAGTTAGCCGCCGCCCGGCGCGGCTTGGTCCCTGGAGCGTGACTGTCGCAATCCCGCGTGGCCCGGGTGCCAGCGCGGTGACTCCACATTGTGCTCGGGTCTAGCTGTGTAGGGCCGTGCGCGCCCTAGTGTCACCGGGGTCTCATGTCGTGGTGCGTTATGCTGGTGTAGTAGCGATGCACACGGTCTTGGGGGCATGCGCATGTGTTTCCTTTTAAGCGCTTATGCATGTGAGTAGACAGTAGTTGCTCTTGCGCTACGGCTTTACTGGTATTTTCGTTAAAATCGCACGTTGTCGAACGTACAACAACAAGAAGCCGTACCCCGGCTTTACTGCGAAGCTTTTTTACGAGCGGCCACAGCCAGTATTGAGTATACATACTGACGACGTCTGTGAGGTGGAGGGTGTTGTATAGAGGAATGTTGAGGATTTGTAGAATGTACGTACTTAGGCCGTAGAGCGCTCCGAGCTGCATAGAGCTGTAGAGCGCTATGTACACAGTATATAGATAGACAATGAGCTCTCAGCTCACAGCGCTCGTCAGACGTGGAGACGCGAGGGTTGCCCCCCCTTTGCCCCACCACCTCGTGTATGTGGAGAAGTTTACCTTACCTTACCTTACCTCGCTCCAGAGAGCGCTCTACATCTCTATATCTCTACAGCGCTGACCACTCTACATCCTCTACACCCTCCCTCAGACTGACGTCCAGTGTACACGAGGTGACTGAACTCGTCGCGCGTGCTGGAGCGCGACACCAACTGCCCGGCCTGCCGCCGTCCGGCGCTGCCCATCGCCGCAACTGGGACGCAGGTGGCGGCACAGGCGACGTTTGTCCACCAGCCGCCCTCGCGCATTGCGCCTCATGCACAGCCCGCGGGCGCCACGACGGCGGTTGGTGGGCGAGGGGGGCGCAGTGGGCGCGGTGGGCGCGGTGGACGCGGTGGGCGGGGTGGGCGGGGGGGAGAGTGTTTTTGGGCGGGGTGGGCGCGGGAGGCCACGGGACGAGGGGCGTGGCGCTGGTCGCCCGTAGCTGCAAGCTACTTAATGGGGTGGTTACGGCACCGGCCCTTGCAGAGAGTAGTTGTACGTCACCGGCCGATGCCTGAGTGCACCATCTTGTGAATACACTAAAAGGAAGATAAATCGTTTACGCACGAGTCACGTTCATACGTCGGCTCCGCGGCGCGAGTGCTCTCAATCACCGCAGCAGAGGCCGCCGCAGCCAAGCCCTTACTTCCCGCCACCGCCGCTGCTGCCCTGCACTCGGATGCCTCCTCTTCCCCTCACAACCACCACCACGAAGCGCGCCGCCTATGTTCCGCCCTCAAAGGCCGTCGCCCCCAAGTACGTCGAGGATCTCGTGCTTCTGACCAACACGACCGAGGTCTGATCTCAAAGATCACTGCGGAGATTGAGACCTGCGTAGCTCTTTGCACTCGCAGGGGGCCTGCACTCACGCCTTCTGCCACTCGCCAGCAAACTGCATGCAATGGGCATGCGGATTGTGACCCGCAAGAAGCAAATATGGCACACCACTCGCATATTCACCTCTCCACCGCGGCACGCATTGCGCTCTCGCGCTGCGCCAGCAGATTCGCCTCTCCACCGCGGCACGCATTGCGCTCTCGCGTTGCGCCAGCCCTACCCACCTCGATGTGTAGGACGGCGTGGCATGCTGCCTGCAAGCTGGCTTCAAGCAGGACAAGATATACACCTTCATCGGTCCGGTGCTGGTGTCGGTCAACCCGTTCAAGCAGGCGGCGATCCAACGCGTGCAAATGAGCCGCCCTTCGAACCCCGATGCGACACGGTCGGTGCCACCCTCGCCTGCAGATACGCGGCATGTACTCTGCAGAGACGATGCGCAAGTACTCGGGCCGCCAGTCGTTCGAATTGCCTCCCCACGTGTACACGATCGCCGAGAGCGCGTATCGCGCGCTGCTTCGGTCCGCGCGCGGCGGGGGTGAGCCGGGCCGTTACCTTACCCTCCCGCCTCACACAGCCCTCTCCCCCTGTGCCGCGGCCGCAGCTCGAGCAAGGGACAGTGCATTCTCATCACGGGCGAGTCTGGCGCGGGCAAGACCGAGGCGGCGAAACGCGTAATGGAGTACGTCATGGCCGCCGCCGCTGCCGCACGGCCGAGCGCCAAGGCCACCGGCCGCGAGGTGCAGGACCTGCTGCTGCAGTCAAACCCGCTACTCGAGGCGTTTGGCAACGCCAAGACGGTCCGCAACGAGAACTCGTCACGGTTTGGAAAGTATGTCGAGATTTTCTTCGACTACCAGGGCCAGCCGCTCGGTGGGCGCGTCTCCAAGTTCCTGCTCGAAAAGTCGCGCGTCTGCGTGCCGGGCAAGGGCGAGCGTTCCTTTCACATCTTCTACCAGCTCCTCGCCATGGGTGGCGATGGAGGCGACGGCTCGAGCTGTGTGCTGCATGCGCTCGGCGAGCTGCAGGCGTACAGCTATCTGGCCAGGTCGGGCACGACGCAGGTGGCCGGACTGAGCGACGCCGACGAGTGGAGCGCGACGGCGGAGGCGCTCACGACGCTCGGTTTCTCGCCCGAGCGGCAGACGCAGCTGATGGAGCTGGTGGCGGCTGTGCTCGCCATCGGCAACATAAGCTTCCAGTCGAACCGCGCCGCTGGGCAGGTCCTCGCAAAGACGGACTCGCAGGCCGCCGTCGTGCACCAGGAGGACAGCCTCAAGGTGGCCGCAGCGGCCCTCAAGGTTGACCCGCGAAAGCTCGCGAGCGCGCTGACAAACCGCACCATCGCAACCGGCATCGACAGGATGAGCACGCCGCTCGACGCGGCGCAGTCGGCGCACGCGCGCGACGCGCTGGCCAAGGCGCTGTACGCTCGCGCCTTCGACGCGCTGGTCGAGCAGGTCAATCGCGCCGTGGCGCCGCCGCCGCACGCCGAGCTCACGCTCGGCGTACTAGACATTTATGGTTTCGAGATCTTCGAGGCGAACTCGTTTGAGCAGCTCTGCATCAACTTTGCCAACGAGAAGTTGCAGCAGCTCTTCATCGAGTTTACGCTGCGCGCCGAGCAGGCCGAGTACGCAGCGGAGGGGGTGGCGTGGACGCCGGTCGAATTTTTCAACAATTGCGTCGTCGTTGAGCTCATCGAGGGATCGAGGCCCGCCGGCGTCCTGTTGTGGCTCGACGAGGAGTGCGTCGTGCCAAAGGGGACCGACGCCTCCTTCCTGACCAAGCTCGCGTCAAACCTGAGCAAGCACCCGCACCTCGAGGTCAGCAAGGACCAGGCCGCGCGGACCTTCACGATCAAGCACTACGCGGGTGACGTCGCCTACGCAGCGGACGGGCTGATCGAGAAGAACAAGGACCTCGCCTATCGCAATCAGATCGAGATGCTCTCCGAGTCGGCGTCGCCGCTCATCGCGGAGCTCTTCCCGGCGGCGACGAGGGGCAAGACGTCAGCCAAGAAGATCGAGACGGCGGGTGCGCAGTTTCGCAAGCAGATGGACGCGCTCGCGGCCACCATCGGCCGGTGCGCGGAGCCACACTACATCCGCTGCATCAAGCCCAACCTCAAGAAGCGGCCCGCTGACTGGGACGCGCAGCTCGTGGCGCACCAGGTGCGCTATCTCGGCATTGTCGAAAACGTGCTGGTTCGGCGCGCAGGCTTTGCGCATCGGATGCCCTTCTCGCGCTTTCTCGGGCGCTACAAGATGATATGCCGCGGCACGTGGCCGGCGCCGCCCGCCGCGCAGAGCCCGGCAGACTCATGCGCCGCCATCCTCGCTGCGGCGCACATTGTCAAGGCGGGGTACGAGCTCGGCAAGACGAAGGTCTTTTTGCGCGCACCCGCGTCCGTGTTCACGCTCGAGGACCGGCGCAGCCGCGCGCTGCACGACGTGGCGCGGATCCTGCAGGGCGCGTACCGATCCTTCGCCGCGAGGAGGTACCGCATCAAGCTGCGCGAGAAGAGCATGGCCGTCTTTGAGGGGCTGAAGCGGCGGCGGGGCTCGTGGAGGCTGCCCTTTCTCGGCGACTACCTCGACGCCGCGGAGGCGCCGGAGGTGACGCGCATGCTGCTCAAGGCGGGCGAGGCAAGGGTGTACTTTGCCGACCGCATCACGCACGTGAACCGCAACGGCAAGGCCCAGGAGCGCATCCTCCTCATCAGCGACCGCTCCGTGTACGTGCTCGCCCCGACCAAGTGGAGGGTCAACGTCCGAGTGGCATTTGACGAGCTCGAGGGCATCTCGCTCTCCACCTTTGCCGACGGCTTCATGGTGGTGCACGTCGGCGGCGGCGCCAAGGGCGGCGGCGCCGCGCTGCTGCTGCAGGTGCAGCGCAAGGCTGAGGTGGTCACGATGCTTGTGCAGGAGGCGGGCGCCAGCGTGGTGTGCAGCGACACGATCGAGTTCCGCAGCAAGCGGGCGGGCATGTTTGAAACATCGGCGACGGAGACGCGCACAATCACCTTTGTGGAGTCGGCCGCGACGGCGGGGTCGGCAGCGCTGCTCGACGAGAAGAGCGCGGCGACGGGGCAGCTGAGGGTGCTCGTGCCGCCGGTCCTCGGAAGCAAGGCGGAGCTGCAGATCGGGAAGGGGGGCGCAGCCCCTGCGGCTTGAGCGTGGTGTGGTGTACGTGTGGAACGGCACGGTCTGGCTCCGGGGAGAGAGGGCCCCGTGTGTTGCGCGCGCGAGTGGCGGGCTGGCGCGAGCCGGCACGGCGCGAGCGGGGACGGGGGAGCGCGAGCTGTGCAGCTGGGCCCCTGTGGAGAGCGGAGGCCGGCAGCCCGCGCATCGGGCATCAGAAGATTCATGTTTCATGTATGACAACAGCTCAGGCGGTACACATCTCCACCAGATGCCACCCAGCGCTGACCAAAAAGGCGTCATGTTAGCCGATCCGCATGACCGCGCGGCACCAATCGACACCAAGTGTTGCGCAGCGCACAAAACTCAAAAGGGCCCTACTGCGTCTCGCGCGTGATGGCGAAGCCCAAGACGCAGTGGCCAAAGTCGAGCGCCGCGATGCCGTTCGTGGCTCCTGCCGAGTCGAGGTGGTACCGCTCGTGGATCTCGTAGATCGAGAGGACGAGGAGCGCCGCCCGCGCGCGGGCCGCCGCGGGGAAGAGCGAGTGGCTTGCCGGCGACCACGGCGCCGCCGCCCGCCGGACCAGCGCCGCCGCCTCGCCCTCGCCGCCCGCGACGCGCCGCAACGGCGTCGGCTCGCCCTCGTGCAAGCTTGCGCCGCTGCGCAGAAGGGAGGTGGCGCGGGCGGCGGTGAGGGTCTCAAGGTGCGCGAGCGGCGTCCAGCCGCGGCTGGCGACCAGCCAGGCGGCGAGGTCGGCGTGGCCTAGGCGGTTTGCGACCTCCTCGGGCGTGCCGAAGGGCGGCACTGCGGCGCGGGAGGCGCCGTAGGAGGAGAGGAGCTTGGCGACCTCGAGGTGGCCGAAGTGGCACGCCGCGTACAGCGGCGTGGCGCCGTTCTGCCGGGCTTGGTCGATCGCCGCGCCAGCCTCGAGAAGCAGCCGAACGCACTCGAGCTGGCCCTGCTGGCACGCAATGAACAGTGGCGTGGCGCCGCCGATCATCGCTTGGTTGATGTCAGCGCCAGCGTCGCGCAGCAGCCGCACGCACTCGAGGTGGCCGTGCTGGCACGCCATGTACAGCGGCGTGACGCCGTCCTTGTCGGCCTGGCCGACTGAAGCGCTGGCCTCGAGAAGCAGCTGGACGCACTCGAAATGCCCCTCCTGGCACGCAACGTACAGCGGCGTGAAGCCAGCGTCTGCTTGGTTGACCGCCGCGCCAGCCTCGAGGAGCAGCCGGACGCATTCGATCTCGCCGTTGAAGCTCGCAGCGCTCAGCGGCGTGGTGCCGTCGTCCATGGGTTGCTCTATCGCCGCGCCCGCCTCGAGAAGCAGCTGGACGCACTCGACCTGGCCCTCTTGGCTCGCGACGTACAGCGGCGTGGCGCCGTCGTCCCTGGCTCGGTTGACCGCCGCGCTCGCCTCGAGAAGCAGCCGGACGCACTGGTCGTGGCCCTTCTCGCTCGCGATGAACAGCGGCGTGGCGCCTTCAGCGTCTGCTTGGTTCACCGCCGCGCCTGCGTCGCGCAGCAGCTGGGCGCACTCGAAATGCCCCTCCTGGCACGCAACGTACAGCGGCGTGAAGCCTTCAGCGTCTGCTTGGTTGACCGCGGCGCCAGCCTCGAGGAGCAGCCGAACGCAGCCGATCTCGCCAGCCAAGCTCGCAGCACTCAGCGGCGTGGTGCCATCGTTCATCGCTTGGTCGGTCGCCGCGCCAACCTCGAGGAGCAGCCGGGCGATCTCGAGGTGGCCCCCCTCGCTCGCGAGGAGGAGCGCGGTGGCGCCGCCGCTGTCAGCCGCCCCGACGCTCGCGCCGCCCTCGAGCAGCAGCCGCACCGCCTCGGCCTGCCCGTGCCGAGCGGCCCAGGTGAGCAGCGTGTCCTGCTTCTCGGTGTCGTGCCGCGCGTCGAGCAGGGCCGCGAGCGACGTGCCGCGCGTCCCCTGCCCAGACAGGAAGCCGCGCAGCCAGGCCAGGTCGCCCCGAGCCAGGTCGGCGAGGTGGGTTGGGAGGGTGCCGCTCATGCCGCCAGAAAGAAGAAAAACGAAACGCGGGGCCCGAAGAAAACCTTCTCCACACACACGAGGTGGTGGGGTAAGGGGGGGCAACCCTCGCGTCTCCACGTCTAACGACAGGAGCCCCACGGCAACTGCCGACTGCACTCCAAGTGCTCCAAGTGCTCGAGTTTTACAAACAAGAAGCCGCAAAAAACCAATGCAGTCCAACACCACCAAGCGAGAGCGGAAGCGGAGCGAGATCCTGGGGGGTTGGCTGCCACAAAGTAAAACAGGACCAAAGCAGTCATCATGTCATCGCACCACCACTCTTGGCAGCACAAAGCCGCGCCAGATGTCCGCCAGCTCCGGAGCCGCTCCCTCGCGGCTGTCGAAGCGCTCCTCGTCCCAGGCGATCAGGTAGCCCAGCCGCATCACCTCGACCGCCCGCTTGCGAGCCGCTGTCGGGAAGAGCTCGTGCGACTGCGGCGTCCACTCCGCCGCCTTGAGGATGAGCCTGCCCACCTCCACCGCCTCGGCCGCTGGCTCCAGGTTGGCCGGCCTGAGGGAGGGCAGAGGCGTGGGGTGTGTCCAAAGAGAGGATCCGGCGAGTCGGGGAGAGACCATTGCAGTGCGCGCCTCAGTGCGAGTGCCTTGGCCTCGCCCGCCACGCGCACGCCGAAGCGACCCGTCGAAGCGCTCGCGGAGACGACGACGCCGACCTTGCCGTTCATCGAGGGCCGCGAGACGAGAGAGCGGATCGCGACGGTGGAGCCGACTCCCGCAGCGGTCGGATCCGACTCGCCCCACGAGCAGAGGACGCGCGCCCGCTCGAGGGCAGAAGGCGCGCCGGCGAGCGGGTCGGCGCCTCCGCGCAGCAGCGCCCGCGCCCGCTCGACGGTGAGCGCCTGCGGAAGAGGGACAATGGGCGTGAGGACAGCGCGCTCACGCCTTCGGCCGCTAGTCTCGGGCACGCCTCGAGATGCTGGAGCGGCGTCCAGCCGCGGCTGGCGACCAGCCAGGCGGCGAGGTCGGCGTGGCCTTGGCGGTTTGCGGCCTCCTCGGGCGTGCCGAAGGGCGTAGCGGCGCGGGAGGCGCCGTAGGAGGAGAGGAGCTTGGCGACCTCGAGGTGGCCGTCGAAGCATGCCATGATCAGCGGCGTGGCGCCTTGCTCATCGGCCTGGTCGACCGCTGCGCCAGCGTCGAGGAGCAGCTGGGCGCACTCGACGTGGCCCTCCTGGCACGCCATGAACAGCGGCGTGGTGCCTTCCTCTGTAGCTTGGTCGATCGCTGCGCCGGCCTCGAGGAGCAGCCGGACGCACTCGAGCTGGCCCTGCTGGCACGCGACGTACAGCGGCGTGAAGAGCGGCGTGAAGCCTTCAGCGCCTGCATGAGCCACCGCCGCGCCAGCCTCGAGGAGCAGCCGGGCGCACTCGATCTGGCCCTCCTGGCATGCAATAAACAGCGCGGAGCCGCCGCCGCCACTCGTCGCCCCGACGCTCGCGCCGCCCTCGAGCAGCAGCCGCACCGCCTCGGCCTGCCCGTGACGAGCGGCCCAGGTCAGCAGCGTGTCCTGCTTCTCGGTGTCGTGCCGCGCGTCGAGCTGGGCCGCGAGCGACGTGCCGCACGTCCGCCGCCCGGAGAGGAAGGCACGCAGCCAGGCCAGGTCGCCCCGAGCCAGTTCGGCGAGCTGGGTTCGGAGGGTGCCGCTCATGCTGGGTTGGAGGCTCATATGTGTAGCCAGTGGCCAGTGCGGTCTCGTGTGAAACTGCCGACTTCCACTCGAGTTTTAGAATCTAAACAAAACAACTCTGTCTCACAGCACACAGGCTCGACACAGGTGCGAACTGTGCATGTGCATGCATGCTGCGATGGATGGGCGTGGCGGCATATTGACTGCGCCTCGTAGCCAAGAGAGTGCAGGCACTGCGTGACCAGACGAACAACGTCAGCGCGGCGGAAGCCGGAGGCGAGAGCTCCGCGGGCGAGCCGTTGCTCGACTCCAGCACGCGTGCTTTCTTTGCTGGCCGCCGGCGGCGCTGCTCGCCGGCAAGGCGCGCAATTCTTTTTTTGCGTCGGCCGAAGGTATTTGTACTCTCGTGAGGCTGTGGAAGCACGCCCAACCTGGCGGATTTGGGTACTTGCCCCGAGGGCAAGTGCGTCTGTTCACAGCTCACGAGAGTAGTTAGTATTAGGTTCGTTAGTGCTGCAATAACCTCCGAGAACCCATCGGGTCGCTCCTCATCGCAAACAAACCCTGTCAGCAGGCAGAGTCCTCCTACGTGTATCGCGCGTACGTACGTAAGCCTCCCTTGCGCCCCCCACCCAACAACCACCCAACCCCCACACATATTCACATTTAGCGGCCCGCCCGTACACTGTCACTGACCACTGTGCACTGTGATGTGAGGCTTCACTGTACCTTAAGGTACAATTAATAACAGCTGTAAGGCTTCGGCCACCGAGGCTTCGGCCACCGAGGCTTCGGCCACCGAGGCCTAGGCCAACGATATTATTACTGCTCCGCTCAGCGCCGCGCCCGCCCCGCCCTGTCTCGCCCCCCGCCCGCCCTTCCCCGCGGCCCAACCCGCCCTTTGAGGGCAGGCTTTGGCCACCGAGGCTTCGGCCACCGAGGCTTCGGCCAACGAGGCTCCGGCCAACGATATTATTACTGCTCCGCTCAGCGCCGCGCCCGCCCCGCCCTCGCCCGCCTTTGCCTCCGCCCAGCCCTCCCGCCCTCCGCCCCAGCCCCTCCGTCCCCTTGCCCCGGCTGTGGCCTGGGTGGCATCTCTTCATCATCACGCGCCAAGTGGGAGGGAAGTGAACGGGGCCCTGAGCTGACCTAGCTACCAAACGGAATGGATTGGGCCAGGTACCAATTTTGTCGAATTTATTTCAAAATCTGCAGGCGCGGAGCGCCTGCGAAAATATTGAAGAAATTTGCAGTCGGGCCTGATTTCATCAAGATCTTTCAAACT